ACTTCTTTCTTGGAAATGAGCCTGGGAGAGCAGTCAGAATTATACCCTGCTCCTCACTCCTATAGTATTCCTTAGAATTGGATTTTTGGACACATTTAGGTAGTGCCTTGTCTCTCTGCCTTCTGTGGTTACTACTTATGTCAGCATTACACAATGTTGACTCCAGCACACAAGGGATGTAGAAAATTTTGTTTTGATTTCTTTTTGTATATTATGTACTAGTCAAATGCAGCATTCAGGCACAGTTGGGTAACAGAGGAAGACATTCAAAACTAACCATGAGGTAAATTGTAGAAAGCAGACTTTATATGACAATAAACATGCAGCTTGCAAAAGAATTAACATAGTGTACTGGTATTAAAACGCATTTCCATACAGAGACAGCTTAGGCAGCAGTTTACAAGTTTAACCTCTGGCCGGAGTATGCAAGCCCTTTAAAGCCGGCATTCAAATTACCAGTAGCTTCATCAGCCATACTTACTTTAACTACATAGTAACATTTGACTTAATGTTTACATTCACTAGCCATCCAATCCAGCACCAAGGCACTTTCCTTGTCAGTCTGTCTGTCTCTGTCCCATGCCTCCACTCACCTAGATGCACATATCAGCACAGCAACATTCATGACCAGTAGCCTTGACAGTCTCCTTAAGCCCAAATAAAAGCAGCTGGGTCCTAGACAATCCCTCGCTGTATATCAAAGTGCCCAGCTGTATGCGACACTGTAAACAAGACTGGTGTGTTAAAAAAACATGGCAAGTTGACTGGATCCATAGTGAATGTGCTCTGATGTGAAGAAAAGCAGTAGGTGTTACCAGTTTCAACACTGCAGAGAATGCTCATCTACCTCGCCTGCAGCCGCCGGTGCGGGGTGCAGAAGACGCTTCAGTCTGAGCAGGAGGACGTGGAGCTTTCCAGCCGTCTGTTGACAGTTGTGCCATAGGTGTTTTTCATCTATTGTTACAGAAGTGTGCTTCTGCAGAGTATCGCTGACTCTGCTGCAAATATCCCCTTCAAAATTGGCTTTGCAAATAGACGCAAGTACTGACTAAGGCTGCATTCTGGGAGGCACTCACTGCCCACCCTCTCTCTGCACTAAAATTAAGAGGGGGGGGGAAGTGGATGATTGTTGACATCTGGCCCTCAGTTAATTTTACATTTTACAAATGCGCCCTTGTGCATTAAGTCAGCACTGCTTTTGTTTTTAGGAATGGCTCAGATTGCACAAGTACTACAAAGGAAACAAGTGAAAGCAAACACACAAATGCATTTTAGATTTTTTTTTTTCTTTCTTAGCTGATCCTTTCAATTCTAAGGAAAAGAAATGGAAATTTGTGAGTCCAATGCAAGATACTTAATTTTATCCTTCTCCAGACTTCTGCACTTCCACTTCCACTTCACTGCAGTTTTCTGGGTCAACAGCCAAGCTGAAGACTGTGGGATTGGCTGTTAATTCCCACATGGCTATGCGAAAAAAGACTCAACATATTTGTTACAAACTGCTTCCAAATAACATTAAAAGCAACTCTTGGAATTTAAAATGGCTACACGTACCCATCCTAGCAAACAGACAAGAAGTTACAAGGGATTCATGAAGATTTACAATCCATCAGTCAGGAGAACTTTTAAACATAGTTAAAGGAATGTATCCAAATAACAAACAAATGTCTCTGGGAAAATAAGCTAACATATTTAGTCCCATTTAATGCACAAAAATTACAGTTTAAAATGTGTATGTCCTCGAACAGGGCTGACTATTAACACTTTGTCAAGTCTTTGGAGTTTCAGATCCTACTGTGAAGTCTATACCATAGCAGCATATATTTATGTGGGTTTTGGATGTTCAAGACCTGGCAGTAATTAAACAAGTCCAATTACTGAAGTTAAATCAGTATGGATATTCCCACATATTGGGCACACTCATTTATGTTTTAACCATCCAGTGCTGCTCATGATTTACAATCAAAGCTGAAGCTGCAAACCCCACCCCAGGCAATGGGGCTTCTCCAGTACCCAAGAACAGGACTCGGCCCTCACATGCAAACTCCCTCCACCTGCCAGGGCCAAAGGTTTTTCCCAGTCCTTGTGACCAATATTTTGCCAGGCTGTAGCACAGATCGGGCACATGCTTGTCACAAATGCTCTAGAATAAAGCTTTAAAGAAATAAATATTTTTAAGTTCAAAAGAATTTTTGCTCTGCTGTGCTTTGCACTGCCAGGTTAAGGCTTAGCAGGCAGTTTAGTTTGCTATGGTCAGGCATATGAAACAGTCCCAAGACTTTTACTACATTGAAAGGGGATATTCCCAGGTTAACTGCCCTGAAAGTGAGCCAACACACCCCAGAAACAACCTCCTGTTCTAACACTAACACCACAACAGAACTATGGCAATAAATATATTCACTTGTCTCATAAGCTGAGAAGCAGTTAGCCAGCCTGCACCTAAAAGATGTTTCAGGTATGCTAATACAGGAATAACTTTGTATTTCTACTAGCCTCCCTTCCCTGCCACCAAAGTAAAAAGATCTTCTCTCACCCCCACCTGAAAAATTCCAGTCCAGGAAACCAAGATGGACACGGAAATGGCAATACTGAAGTCTGATTTCATTTTAACAATGCCTTTATTATGTAAAGTGCACCCCAGTTACTGGGAGGGGAAGGAAGAAATCTTTTTCTTTAGTCACCATGTTAGAGCCAAGTTCAGAGAATTTAAGTGGATTGCTATCATTACATTACAGACTCTCTAAAAATCTGTATGCAACTGTTTGATACAATTAGATTGTTACAATCCAAAGTACAAAATCAAATTAAACCCTGAACACTGCGTGATACAATATTTGGCACATAGGTTTACAAACAAGCCGTAAACCTGTTAATTTGTGTAAACCTGTACTGTGGTTAAACCTGTACTGTGGCTTCAACAAGCTAATCACCCGCCAGCATCTCCTGCTTAGTCTTTAGCATTTTATCCCTAGATAAATGCACAAGTCTTAAAGATATAACTCTGCCAGACAGACAGAATTCTCTATAGGATACACTCCTAGATGATTCTGTGAGTTTATCACCACTGGCCCATAAATAACAAAGAAGGTTGCCAGAAGTGACAGGCCGGAACTCCTTTTAGCCTTTAAAAATGAGAATCTCTTGATGCTAGTTGTTTCATGTTGGAAATGGTCCATGTAACAGCAACTGAGAACTAAATGCCTTCCCTTTATACAACGGAAAGGCAAACAGCAATTTCAGGAATAATTATCCCTCATAGTTATAATAGTTATCCCTCAAACATAACATATGCTATCAAAAGTTAGTATCTCTGGATCACAATTGAAAAAAACAGAAAAAGAAATAAGCCATCAGTGTGTTTTTGAAGACATCCATGCCTTTGAGACAACGTTCAGACTAAGCAGCCAGGTTGTGACCCACAATATCTCAGCCATGAGGAGGTGGATTAGATGCATGTGGCTGCAGAGCAGTTCTAATAATCACACACGCTGCTCAACAGAGACTTTCCCTTTTACTTGTGGTTTCTATAGTCACTACTAATTTTGCATAGAAGAGGCAACCCATCCCCCAGTAAAGTAACTGCTATTATTATCAAAGAGGAATGTCTTCTGACAAAAGAATGCTCCTTCACTCTCTGAAAAACCCCCACATACGGCCTGTGCTGCCTCTGACAGCACTGTTTTCGTTATGCTCGTGCTCTCTGAGAGGGAGTTTGAAGGTGCGGTGGTGGAGTGGAGAGAAAACAAAGGGGACTGGTTTGAAGAAAGGTGTAGTTACAATAAGCTGCAACATAGCCTGTTAGTTTAAAAAAGTGCCTGGATACAAAAAAATACAACTGGGAGACAGGAACTGTAGAATAATTGAAATGTTATTAAAGATCCTGCATTCTTTATCTGTTTTAAATAGTCCAGACCTCAAGAGGTAATCTTAGGAATTTAGTATTGAATTTTTGTTACAAAAGCAGAAGACGTATGTGAACATTTATATGTACACCTGTCCTTCCATGCAAGCAGGCAGTCGAGGACAAGGCAAGTTGAAATGATACTGACACCTGCCTTTCCAGGGCCTTTAGCAAGTGCTTTGCAGAACAGCAGCACCAGAGGTCACAGAACAAAAGGTGGTCTTAAATGCATAGTTCTTTTGCTGAAGGAGAACCAAAATCTTTTATTCTCACAACACAGCATGTAGTGTTTTGAATTAAGGTTTTATTAGTGTCAGATTAGAAAGCTGACTAGACTAAGTTAAGGTTAAAAAAACTGTAAGAGTGCCATAAAATTTCTAGTTATCATTGGATAAGGGGTTTATTTTAATGTAATTTTTTTTTCCTTAACCCCTGGTAGAGACAGTCTCCAAGAAATGTAACTTCTTCAATAAAATGCAAACTGTATGAAACAGGTAAAAGTGAGAATAAGAATAAAGAATTTGAACAACCATATTAAGTGTTGTGGCTCATAACTGCTAATAGAGAGCCATTAGAAAAATGGTAAAAACTTACAGCTTGTTACTTGCCCCTCAAGCTGTAATCAACAAAGGTGCACTTAATAAACAGAGGCAATTTATATGACAAGAGGGGTATGATATAATCTGACAGTGATTTGGGTAGAAAACCTCCAAGTAACTGTTAATTAGTGTTTTCATCTGTATTTTTAAACTGAATACAAGACTGAATTACTGTGCGTCAAGTTGCAAGGCACATTTTTAGGCCAAATTAGTATACAGTTCATCTGCACGCATATCTAAATGTAGGCAGAATATCAATTACTATAGTAGCATTCAGAGTCAAGCAATCATGGTGTTTTCCTATTTGCACACCATAGCAAGTTATATTTAATTGTTCTGATTTTTAAGTGGGGATGAAAATGATTTGCATGTCTGGTAAACAGGAAACAGACACTGGGCCAAGTAAAAATTCAGAAAGTCAATCAAGCTACTGAAAGTGTATGACAAGTATTCTTCCACATTAGAATACTAAGGTTCAGTCTTACTTTTGCACAAAGATGCTCCAAGCAACTAAAGCTGGCTTTTTAGGCTTGTACACTATCACAAACCAAAGTATTTCTTCTAGAAGGTCTATTGGCTGATTGATTAATTGAAACTTGCCATTTTCAATCACATGTAAATCTGATATGACAAGATGCAAAATCCCCAAGGTAGCACAAAGGCTTATTCAGCTATCCAGACAGAAGATTTTATGTAGTGCATAAAAGTTAAGTCTCCAGTAGGTCTGGACTGCAAATCTTCCACAAAAACAGTCCTTACTGTACTTTGTCATATTACTCTTCACTTAATTTCAATATTTCTATCTTCATTCAGATAAAAATACCTAGCTTAATTTATCAGAAACACAGGAGAAAGTGTGAACAGGCACTACTGAAGGCCTAAAACAGAGCCAGTCTCTTCTCTCACTGTGGCACATAGCCCCCTTGTCTCACAGTCTGTGGGAGGTAACTTTTTGGCATTTCATCAACTGATGGTGGATTTCCTTCCACTATTTCAGGTCCCACAATTTGTCCTTCAGTACTTGCCTGTAAAGCATCTGATACAGCAGCTTCCTGGGTATTTTTTTCCAGCCCAAGGCCCAATAGCTGTGAACTCTGACCTGAGATCTGCAGTTGTGCAAATCCAACAGTATCCCCCTCATTAGCAGAAGTGATTTGCTTCATTCTTTCAAAGCATGGCCTGTCTGTGTTGGTTTCATCCTGAACACCATTTTGTTTGAAATACTGCTGCCTCTGTATTGTACTGTCACCTCCTCCAGCATGATGATCCTCTGCTCTCTCTTCTGAATCTAGCAGTGGCTGAGTCGACTCAGACCTTGAAAAGACTTGCACAGGTGTTTGGTCTCTGTAGCCGTTAAGCACTACAGTTGAATACTGTACAGTGCTTGAAGTGTTTTGTGTAGTTTCACCTTCGTCACTGTCAGAGACACTTTGCCTAGGAGAAGACATGCATGAGGACCCTCCAATACCACTGCTGTGCCCTTCTGAAGTACTTTTTTCCTTTTTAAGTAAGTCAAAGGGTTTTAGATCTTGTTCTGAAAAAGACTTCTTGTCATCAGCTTCTATTTCTACGACGCTTACATCTGTGAAGCTGCCTTCTGGATACATCTGATCTTTGGAATTAAAGTTATGCTGAAAGACAGAGATGGATGTTGCCTAAGAGGAAGGTTATGTTCAAAATAAAAAATCTCATTAAATACCTGAATTTTTATTCTGTAATTTTTTCAAGTTTCTTCATTTAATTTTTTTCCTAAGTTTGGCAATACCTCCAAATTATGTTATGAAGGATGTAGTTTTGTCTCCAATACAAAGCCTTACTTACACAACTATTCTAGAAGCACAGTTGGTGTGCAAGCTTTGCTCTAGTTTTAAATATTCTTAAGAGCCATAAACATAGAACCATTTGCTCTGCAGCACAGGAACATTCTATATTGAGAGCCATACCTACTTCGTTTCCAATAATGCATTCAATGTGATGGCTATTCTTCACAGAAATTAGTCACAGTTTGTCAAACAGAATTTGCTATGTAATTCATCCCCTGTGGGGCATAAGTTTTGCTACCACCTCCTTATGCATGAGTAACTTAAAGCCTTCTCTCTCATTCATGATTTAACTGTGCAAGCAAGTCACACTTCAGGGTCTTAAGAATGGGAATCATGAGTTCTGTTTACTTAATCCTGATTTTCCATGAATGAGTCAAATAATTAGGAGTTGACCCAACTACTAAACTGAATATAATTCACAATGTTAAAGCCTGCTCTATACTGTGAACTTGTGCTAAGGACAACGTATTTCTAATGCTGAATCTATTAATGCAAAAAAGTCTCATAACCATATTGTACCACAATGTCATGAAACTTAACATCCACAGTTTTTTTCTCCTTGAAATCTCTGTGTGCTAGAAGACAGAAGACTCCCACTGTTAGTTTATTTGAAACCTTGTGGACTAGGAAGCTAGAGGATGCAGAAAGATGAGTATTACCTTAGCTGGAACTTGAGGAGACCACTGAGCAATGTTACTCTTGGATGGATCAGGGACAATAGGCCAGATGTGCTTTTTAATTCTGTAAAGGATTAAAACCAGAACAGAATTACAAGATGCACTCCCCAAACTCCTATGTTAGTAGCAAGTACTGCATAATCCAGGACACTTCTCCTTTACACAGAAATTTTGCAAGAGTATTTATTTCTAAATAGGAATGCTTCCTGGGCTACTTTACATCTTTGTAGGAAGCTGTACTACTTAGCAGAACACAGCACTGCACTTGTAACTGCTCCACACATTAGATGTTAGTTTGCCTTATGTTGGATAGCTACAAATGGTAATGAGTTAGTGAAGGATTTTAAAATTTATAGCACTCTAGAATCTACAGAGCACTTAATTATTTAAAGTCTATGATGCATGCCAGTATAAAAATACATTGTTGCTTCTTTAAGATATCAATATCACAGCTGTCAATCTAAGCCATCTTCACAGCTAAAAATAAAGTGAAACTTTTTGAAGAAAAACTTACTTGGTTGGTTGTAACTCTCAAGTTTAAGGATGTAGAAAAAAGTAAATGTAGTAAAAATAGATGTTTCTGTAGATAATTCACTCCCAACCAAACTAACTCTGAAACCAATGCGTCTATGCCACTCTTTAGACAAGGTGCAACAACAGATGCTCTGTAGGAGAACTCTGAAGAAAATTGCAAAATGGGCTTTGCAACTGACATCGATTAAGAACAGATTTTAGGAACAGCAGGGAGGTCAGAAAGAAAAGGGCACAAAATGCTGTCTTTAATTAGAAAGAGAAGATAGTTGACTGGGGACATGCGATATGTGCTACTCCTTGGCAGGGAAAAGACTTCAGCAATAAGCACTCAGCTAAAGCCACAGACAAGAGCTCTGTGGTAGGTAGAGGGAGCAGAAGGAAAGAGTATGTTTCCCAGCAGGTAGTAAACTGGCACAGAGTTTGACTGAGGTTATGCAAGGTAGTTAAGTAAGATGCTTGCCTGACCTTTTTGGCCATCAAGCTTAACATTTCCTAACACCGTAATTAAACAGCTCAAATATAGCAAGCAAACAGATCATCTGTGCTTCAGAAACTAAGGATCATCATTCCACTCTGACATGATGACTAAGAAAACAACACAGAAGATCATGATCACAACTTAACAAACATAATCCTCACCAACTCTAGCAAATAAAGCAGGAATTTCCTTGCAGGATTGAGTCATGGAACATTTAGGTTGTGTGCTAACCCTTAACAGTAAAAAATTAGTTGCAGAAGAGGCAAATTTCTCAAGGAAAAGAATGTTTATCATGACTGAATATGTGCGTTTTACCTTCTTTTTCTGATCTAGCTGCAGAGTATTTACTTGTGTTAAATTATTGCCATCTGTTATTCCCAGAAATACCAGAAATGTATGAAAAAGACTTCATTATACTTACAAGTCACGTTTGTTGAAGCAAAACAAAACTCCAAGGAGCACAATCAACAGGAACGCTAGACACACAGGTACAACTATGGCTTCAATCTCTCCTTTCCCTGAAGGAAATGAAGAGAAGCAGTTACAGCTCACTTTGACATTTAAGGAACTCAGCAGCAGCATACATTCCCAAAGGGACAGGGAGAATCTGAAACTGAATACACCAACAGCACTCAGTCTTAAGATTCACCTTCAGAAGAACCTTTCCATCATATGAAAAGAGCCCGTAAAGTGAAAACACGAAAAGCTCTGTCCAAACAATCTAATGTCTGGCATCAACAAAAACCCCCAGGTTGCTCCAGAAGTTATAATACTGAAGAAGCAAGTAAATTTACAGTTTGGGCAGATATGACAGGAACATCTATGTGAATTCACCTGTGGTCCAGGTATTTCAGTGGCCTTATGGCTGTCATAACATCATCATGAGCAAGTAAGTAACGTAAGCAAAGTCATTAGTCATCCGTAAGTTTATCCTGTACATGAAAATACCCTCTGCCTGCAAACACCAAGTTGCATTATTGTTATGTATTCCTTCCAATATTATACACATTAAGTAAAACTTACAGAACACTTAGGGAAAAACAACACTATACAAAAAGAGAATATTAAAACCTGCTAAATCTAAAGAAGTGTTTTCCACAACTAAGTTCGATTAACATTGCTGCTCTTACCATTACAAATATGAAGCACTCTCTAGAGCTGAACATACAAGAAATGTCACTCTTCAAAATGAGTCTCTGTAGAGAACTGTAACAAACTTTAACAGTGATATAAATGAGAATGTGGAACCTGATGAAGGGTTGCAAGAATGGCATGTCCTCTGTACAACTGGAATAAGCTGTGACTGAACTACCTCACTGTGAACGAGCACTAGACAGGTTACCTAGATACCAGGCACCTAGTGAGTATGACTTTGACTGAAACGTTTTCTTTAATAAAGTCACCCTCCCCTCCTATCATACCTTGCACAGAGCCTTGCTATAGTGTTGCACCATTACCTCCTACTTCTAATTGTACCACTCTTCCTTACCAAATTTTTGTGTAGTAAATGTAAAATCAGGACCACTCCTGCCTCCTTCATCTGTGTATGCCATCATCCGCACAGTATACAGTGTGTCACTGGCTAGAGAAGAAAGGGTATACTCTGTCTTGGAAGGATCCACTGTCACAGCTAAAGAAAGGAAAAAATTATACTAGTTTTCTGTACAATTGATTAGAACTCCGCAAACACAGTAACATTAGGATGCCATGTCCTAGTTTTAGTAGAATGAATGGCTGTATGGAAAATACAACAGAAAGACTACAGGCTTGTACGAGAAATGCTGCGATTCATCTGTTTCTGTTCAAGTGTTTGAATTTAGTCTCATTCTTGATGTTATTTTATGTGTTAATTTCCTGTGGGTTTGTGCTGTTGGGTTTTTTTTTCCCCTTCTCACTCCCCCAGTGTAGCTACAAACATAACCAGTAGTAACGTTGAGGCTTAAAGATTTCTAATAAGCAGAATACATGGCTACCTAGAAATAGCCAGTTGTTAATTAGAAAAACACTGCTAACAAGCAGTAGAGTAGGCATAAGTAACTGGTCCTTTCTTCCAATTTAAGCAAATCTAAAAATTAAAAGATTTTGATAGTGCTAACCCCCTGTCTTATGCCTGCCGGTCATACACACTACTGAGAATGAAAATGCATTTCAAAGAAGATGTTTTACATCAGCAATATTGTATTGATCTAGAGCTCCAGGAGGATTAAAAATATACCCCCCCTTTTTTTTTTAAGGCTTTATCCTATTTGACTGCAGTCAACTTCTTTACATCTTGAATGGTTCAGCTTTACCTTGCTACATCAACATCTCATGCTGTATTTAGATAGAAAGATAGGAGCAAAGTACTCGCCAATCAGCTTTCAGCAACTAAACTCACTACCCTGTTATAAACAGACTGAATGTTCTGAATCCTTTAATAGGGACTTTTCTGTTTGGTATAGATGCCTCAGACATCAGCTTTATGTTACCAGAACTGACTGTCAGCCACACTTGATTCTGTATCTCTTTTTTCAGGAGCATGAATTAGGAAGGAGACAGACAGAATATTTCAGTGCCACAAAGTACTTCTCTGCTTTTTGTTACCTGTTTCATTTCCATCAATAGTTTTGTAAAATATGGTATAACTTCTGATAAATCCATTTTGTTCATCCACTGTGAGATGGTTCCACGTCAAAACAGCTTCGGCTTTTCCTACTTTTTTGGTCTGAACAGTTGGTCCTTTTGAAGGACCTGTAATGGGATATGAAGATTAGTTTCTGTTATGCACCCTTGCATCCACAGAAACAGTATTAGTGAGTACTGAATTGCTACTGTGTAAAAACTTCAACGGCATAGCTGGACTAACTCATCTGCAAAGCATTATTTTCAGACAACAGAGAAAATTCAAAGATGTTTTGAAAGAGAAACCTCCAGGAAGAAAAAGATGTGAAAAACAATAATCAGCAGATCACATGAAATCTTCAATTGAAGGTAACTGAATTGGAAAATACCACAAATATAAATATTACTATATCAATAAAATAACACACTCATGCCAAATCATCTGATAAAGGTTGGAAAAAGGGAAGAGTCAGCCACAGACATCTGTTTAACTCCTAAATACTGTAAATAAACAGAATGGATGTTAACCAAAGGGACAAGATCTATTATATCAGATGACCCTCAAGTGTAGGACTACTTTTCATTATGTAGCCCGTATTAAAGAAAAGGTCTCATTATTTTTAGTCAAAAAAGTCAGTTTACATGCTCCAAGATGACTATTTTGTACTTACTCTGAAGATAAGCTTTCACAGACTGTCCACTTCCCTGACCATCAGAATATAGAGGGTACACAGTTATCAAGTAGCACTTGAAAGGCTTTATATCACCTAAAAAAAGATATTGAAAAATGTGTTGTTTCACAAATAGTCAAATTCCTCGCCATCCTTCTTGTTTACTTCAGATACAGGATTCTGGATTTTGGCTGTATTATTAACTCCAAAATATTAACTGAAGGATTAATACAATGGTTCACACAGAAATGCTAACTTTAATAAACAGACTTCATAGAAGTTTGGGTTGGTTTTTTTTCCTCATTTATTTCAAATAAAAAGCCATTATGTGTCTGCAGCACTGAACCACAAAATTATTGATTTGAGCTACTGATCACAATCTGAGAACCGTAAAGCTGATGAATTTTCATTGTTTGAACTGCAAGAGGGATCACAGAATTTGATTTTGAAGGAACTCAACCTTTTCACTTCTTTAATGGTTTCCAAGAATGAGAAGACTAAATCAAAAATGTAGATAAACCCCTTGCTCTTACATAACAAATTTCAAAATGAAAGATTAGATAAAATACCGTATTTGACAAAAACACACGGATACTTCCACACTCATCATAAACTAACAGACGCCCTCAGCATTATCCCAGATTCCTGTCTCACAATAAAATTCTAGTAAGTATAAGAGTTTTCCTTACTTTTAGAATACTTACTAGGCTTAGAGAGCATTCTACAGTGCATTTGTAGACTTACAAGCTAAATACCTTTTAAGTATGTTCCTTGAACATTTCCTGGTTCATTCTGCCATTCTATGATGCAGTCTGAGCTGTTGGACACCAGACACCATTCAATCACATATTTAAGAACGTAACTGTTAGGAGCAGTCCACCCTACCCACAATTTGCCATCTTTAGGTAGTGTTCTAACATTCTTCACAGGAGCTGTGATGAAAGAAAACAGAAAGGTTATACGTATTGACAGTTCTTCTGCTACATATTATAATAATAGCTATTTTGTCAAATGTGGATTCTTTTGGGTTATTGTAATGGTGACAATTTGGCAGAACGTAAGGAAATGTAAAAGCTATTTTCTGAAATACAAGCAGTATTAGGCTATTCAGGAACTGGAAGTTACTCAGCTTCTCTGCTCTCAAACACAGTAGGTTGCCTTACTGCACAGTAAACACACTATGTTTCTTCCAAAATAAAGGGTTTATTTCAGAGAGATATCAAACTTTGACACACTTCTGAATTCCTTATAATATATTTTCTTTATAACATATTCCTATATTGCGGCAAAATTCTAATACTTACACACATGTACCTTACAAAGTACTTCTATCTCCAATACTACTGTTTGAAACATACTGTGGCTCTCCTTCGGTGTTTAGGCTAAAAGCATCATCCGCCTATATACTTGTTTCTTTGCTTCCTATCCTGGTAGTGTTCAGATTGTCTAAAAAGAGGCTGGAAGTAAGGAGAAACCAGCCTGTAGTTACTACTACTGTATGATGAAAAGGAACAGAATAGAAAGAAATACGAGCAGTAGGAAAACAGTGGGAGCAGATGACAAAGCAACCAGGCAAGATACTGAAAATGGGGAGAGTGAGACTGAGACAAGAGAAGAAAGAGGTGAGGGGAGATCAGAAAGCAGAACAATGGTGAGATGGTATATATACAGGAACTATAGGATGCTTGCTTCCCCAACCCTTTGATTTTTTAAAAAAAGAAAACAAAAATGCCTGCTATGCTCAGAAAAACAATAGGGAACATAGCGCATGGTAGCTCTACAGATCAAAACCAACAGCACACACAGCTTCAAATGAACCTGTAAGGATATAAATCCACACATTCCCTGGTATATAAATGGTAGCATAATTATAAGGCATATGACAGTAGATACATTCAGTAATACTTTAATTATGTGTCCATATTGAAGGTATCATTTTATAACACTGAAGATTCCTTAAATCAGAAGCCATGCAGATGCATTTGAAAGAGACACTAACCTTTTGAATTACTTGCTGGGATAAGTAAAACTGATGGAGGGGATGCCCCGACTCTGTTACGGGCAACCAGAGTCACTTCATAAGTTCCATTTGGCATCTTTAATGTAAGGTTGGTGGTATTAACACTGTATTTCTCTGGTGGACTGGAGAGAGATGACTTGGCTCTGATACTCACTTCATACTGTAAGATTACTCCATTGGCTTCAAATGGCTCCAGTGCCTGTTAGAAACACATCTTTGATTATAATGATACTGTACAAATGCGACTTAACCTTTATTGTCTTTAATGCATAATCTAAAAATCTGAGAGCAAGACAAGTTACACAGATCAACCAGCTGCGTGTTTCAGGAAAGCACAAATAACCTGCGTTCATTTCTGCAAAGCATTAACTTCTGGAATTATTTCAGGTTCAAATCCTGTTTTTCTTGGCTTACCTGTAAAACTACCCTGTAGTTTAATAAAAGCTATTCTGTAAAGACTGCAGAACATGTGTTGATAAAAGCTTCATTTTATGTGACCTTACCACACACACAACATTAAGGAAATCTTAAATCTTAAGCTGTGTTAAATCCAAATACAAAACAGCCTGAGTAGTCATCTTCTATTAATGTAGAAAAATACTTGTTTTAATAATAGTTTCTGTGTAACAGTATTAGTTTTCAGACAACTTAAAATTGTTGAAACCAATTTCAACAAGTAGCCCCAGTTTTCCAATTTTAAACTAAATAATGACAGAAGTGGCAAGTGGCATATGAGTTCCACCAGAAAATGATGCCATATCAATGTATGTGTAACTTCACGCAAGCCACCTAGTAATAATAGACAGCTGATCAAATGTAATGACGTTCACAGACCAAAAGAAAGCTTTAGATGGGGACCAACCATAATTGCATTTGCTTTCTCAGCTGAATTAATCAGCCAGCTAGACACAGCAGCCCTCTGCATGCAAATGTGCAGTGCTGTATTTAAGAAGTTGGGCCTCTGGAATGTGCCTAGGCTTAATGGATTTTGCAGGTGAAGTATATCTGTCTAGAGAGTGTTACAGAAGTTTTAGGATACAGCAGAAGGCATAACATGAAGGTTTACTTTGTTCAAGAGAAAGTTTCCAATTTCATCAACTGCTTAAGGACAGCAAGACAGGAATCCAAAAGTGGATTCTGTATCCTCTGGATCACAGATATGTATCAGTTAACTGATGGCCTTTACAGCTGTACTTTTAATTTTTCCGCAACTAAATATTACAGTAAGGCTACTAAAGGCACTTCTTATGCTGATAAAACTCATAGTATCCCCAGCTTTCTACCCAAGCTTGCTGAAGTAAATTTTGACACTTAAAAACTTGTGTTTTTAAAAGAATACGCCATTCCAGCAGTTTGTCATGTTGCTTTACCTTCCACATCAGATGCACAGACCAGGAAGGTGGTGAGCGAGATACATCAATGATCCTCCATATGGGCGGTCCTTTAGATGGTTCTGATGAAAGAAACAATGAATTCATCCTTTGACTATCATTAGATGCTTACCTTTTTCTTTTTTAATAAAAGCATATTCAAAAAGCATATCCTTAATTCCTCAAAAAAAATAATGCCTGATATATTAAGTGGAACACCTGCATGGAAAGATTTCCTGAGGCGATGAGCAAAACAACAGCTGTGCTTTAAGTATAATGTATCAAACTGAGAATCACCACGCTGAGCAACTGCGAGAACGGACTTAAGATGACAGTGCTGTAATATAACAGTTATGAAGCAAACCTGCTCTGCTGGATGTAAAGACCCCTAGTTACAGTCACTATTTGGAGATACAAACTATATGCTTTCTGGTAAGGATCAGGTAGTAAAATAATTGTCAAAAGATTTCAAAATTGCTGGAATGCTTGCATTACTCTTCAGCATCCCGACTGTACATTTATACCTTTGCATTTAAGGATTCCATTGAAACTTCACTTAATAGTTACAGTACCTAACACTTGGAAACAACCATATGGAAATGCAGAAGTATTACCTTCCTGAATATAGAAGTGATAATACACCTGTATCTACATAACTTGCTATGGAGACAAAACCCAAATCTTCCGAAAGCAGAAGGCAAGCAGCTGTGGACTTTTCTGGGATATGGATCTAATAGCCTTAGACAAAGTAGATCACCTGAAGGTCAGTTTTATAATCTCACTGAGGGAAATAATAGTGGCATAAATAACTTAAGTGTCCAGTGTCTGCCTGTTTCATTTAGTCTTTCCAATAGGCAATTGTACTGTAAAAAAAAAAAGTTTTGATACCTAAAGTCTACATTTGGTAGAAAGATGATCAGGCAACTACAGGCCTTACGAGCTTCTTTCCAACTTAAGTTATCCCACTGTCCTATACATTTGTAAGTGTATCTAGGCATTTACAGTTGTGGGTAAGCAAACTCATGACAGGAAATTGTTCTGCTATCAACTTACTGGTACAGTAGCTGAAAACGCTAACTGCAAGCAGCGTAAATGTGTGACTATCCTGCTATTGTTAGGAAGGGTACCTACAACAATTTGTTAAAATGCTGTTCCACTACAACAGCTACTAGAAAACAGACTATTTACATTTGCAATGCATCACAACTAACCGTACAGGTCTTCCTCAACAGTTCATTTTACCCTTAGCAAGAAGCAAAACACTTACATTGGGTGTTCTGACACCAACAGAGGTTTAGATTTAATAAGATACCAGTTAGCACCTCTCAAACATCTGTTAAAGACATTAAATCAGTTCCAGTTCAGTCTAAGTGGACTATTCAGGTGAATTACAAAAGGAAAATGGACCACAGAAGGTAAACCTGGGGCTTTTATTTGGAGAGTGAATGAAATGGCCAAATGCATAGTACTAGGTTGTGTCTGTTAATACACTGCATGCATTTTTGTTCTGTTAAAAGAAAATGCAGGAATCCACTATTTGAAAACACGATCTTTCATACTGTAACAAATACATGGGTGTGATTTTAATGTCAGTGTTCCAATAACTACTACTCAGTTATTGTGCAAGTTTATTTTGTGTAAGTTTACAGTTGATGGAACAATTGCTAAGTCATGAAAGTGCTGCAAAACAAAATAGCCAAAATTAGAAAAAAATAATTTAGTAACAGAAAAAGCTAAGCATTCAACTAATGGTTTTGGCACAATTCAGTGGCAGAATGCAGAGTCTTTGTACTAAAGAACAAACTTATACGACAGATTCTCTAGTGGGGAAATACTGCAATGGATTCCATGATCTGTGACATACTAAATTCATAACAGTGAGTTGTAGTTACTTTAATGCCACAGTGCATTTTAAGCAATGTATGTGTTGATGAGCAACTGGAAATGATTAATGAAGTTAAAAAACATGTTGTGTGATGCAGTGGACATAGATCTTAGAAGATACAGAGTGCAGTAACAGTCTCAAGTGCCAGTGCCCTGAAGGAATATGAATGAGTCCAGAGTGATGCACCATACCTGCAGATCATACAGTTCAGTAACAACAGACAATTTCAGTGGTAACAGATAATTTTATAACAGCTGGCTGGAGCACCACAAGGAGTTAAAAAGCCAAGTTGATGAGCTGGTTTCAGCATGAATAGATTTGGTGCATGGTAGCAACTTTGCAATGCTGAGGATTTGTTCCACAAAGCAGTGAAGCCTGACACTTAACTAAGGCTCTCTCTTTAGCAATTTTTTTTTCCAGGGCTGTGAACTTAAAGCTTAATCTAGTGGACTATCTTCTGTTTGTCTTGAGCAGTAATGTGTTTATACTTTCAAGTTGTATATAACCTGCTGACAAAGTCCTTCTGTGCAAGACTAAACACAAACCAGATACTGCTCCCAAACAGCTGAGGCCTTCCTCATTAAATCACGATAGCAGCAATTCAGTGTTCACCCCTGCTGCAGAGAGACAGGATATTACAAGTCCAGATAACAACTCCAATGATTATGTAAGGCATCAAGAAGGGAAATTGTAAAGCGACAGTGATTTTTGTGATTAAATATATTAAAAATAAAACCATTTTCTACACAGACTCAATCTTGCTCAAAGTCAGCTGTTCATACATGGCATTCTCTTCTTTATGCCTCCCACCGTGACAAACATATCAGTAATGAGACTCTTTATCACCATCTGTAGAACGTTGTAAACAAGCAGGTACAAGACAGTGCAGAGGCAGCTGTGACTGTGATGAGCAAGAAAGGGTTGTAGATGCAGAATACCGTGGGAAAGTTAAGAGTGTACCAGAGTGTTTTATTTAGATGCTTTGGTGCGTAAGAGGCTAAACTTCCCATGTGCACATTACTTCACATCACTGTTTTTACAAAGTTTACGAAGAAGTCTATGTATCCTATATGACTAAAATCTTCTGTTTCATACTTTGATGCTTGTTCACTTATGACTTATTTATCAGCCTCCTAAACACCAAACAGTTTTTCACAAACTAAGGCAGTCTGTGTTCCAAAAATACCCCAAACCCTTTCACACAAGCAGAACAGCTTCTGTTACAGAGGGTAACCTTCAGAACAAAGAAAATGAAGCATAAAGCATACATCATAAAAGACTTTGAGAACATAACTTCCTGTGAAGAAATCTTCTCTTCCCTAGTTCCTGTTTTAGCTCTTTTCAGGGAGCGCCTCTAGACTAGCTTTCTGGAATGCTCTCTCATGTTCCTTGGAATCCACAGGTCAAGCCAGTCACTACTGAAAGTAACTTGGTAGAGCCTTATCGCATGTATAATCAAACAGCTCAAGCAAGGATACACAATTTCAGCTGACTACTGCCAAATTGCACATTTTGAAAGTCAGTGACCTACTTTCACATATTACTTACTATCTTCAGTGGTGACTCCAGTTTTCTCTTCACTCCAGTCACTCCAGTAGCCCACTCCATCTTCCTTCATGCAACGAATTGAAAATACATACTTTGTGTAGGGTCTGAGCCCTTGAACACTGAATGAAGTTCTTGGTGAAGCTGTATCTTCAGGAGGAACCTGTAAATAAAAAAAGGTTTTAGAGGCACTGATCAAAAATTGTAAAGGTAAGTTCTGTGTTACTACAGCTCTCATCCAACAGGGCTGTCCACCACATGCATGCCCAATAAAAACAAGTTTTTCTTCCCTCATTTCTAAAAGCTTAAATTCTCAACAGTAGTTTGGTAAAGGATCAGAGTTGTGCGTATTTAGCAGGTATAATGCAAATCATACAACAGAATAGGTAAGCAGCTATCTCATCCTGTTTTCCTTAATTAGTTTTTGTCTACCTCTCTTTCCTTCCCATATAATTCCTCTTCTTACTGATCCTACAGTAATAACTGAGCAAAGTCCTGAAAGGCAAGATGGGACATCTGCTGGAATATCAACTGCAAAATACCTTTGCTATAAGCCTCCTATAAAGCTAGAGAATACAGGTTCACTGCTTCCACTGATAGAGAATGTTTCTTAACTGACATGGGAAAGAGTTTTAGAGTAGTTTATACTTTTGCTAATAAATTATTTTCATAAGCTCTTTCCTTTATCTTAATGAGCAATAGAATGCCAGAAAATATATTACTGCATATGTACAGAAACAGATGTGTGATGTGGATAATAGATACATGTAGGTTCACACACACTGAGTGCCTCTCTCATGTTATTCCACTTGCCATTAAGGAGTTTATATAGTGAGCAACCCTGCAAAAGGGACAACTGCAGATTAAACACACATGCAGAACACTCAAGAGGTTAAGCCTGAGTGCAAAGAATTGTCAAAGTAGTCAAATGTTTCTACAGCTAAGCAAGCTCAGTTGTTTTAAAAGTTACTATTTCAATGGTCTTGTGTACATGCTAAAAGGGCAGGACAACCTCCATGGTCAGCCTAACAACCCTTTCAGATAAGAAGCTTATCCTAATATCCAGTCTAAACCTCCCCTGGAGCAACTTGAGGCGATTTCCTCTTGTCCTATCACTTGTTATTTGGGAGAAGAGACCAACAATCATGTCGCTACATCCTCCTTTCAGGTAGCTGTAGAAAGCGGTAAGGTCCCCCCTTGAGCCTTCTCTTGTCCAGACTAAACATCCCCAGTTCCCTCAGCCGTTTCTCATCAGACTTGTTCTCCAAACCCTTCACCAGCTTTGTTGCCTTTCTTTGGACCCACTCAATGTCTCTCTTGCAGTGAGAGGCCCAGAACTGAACAAAGGATTTGAGGTGCAGCCTCACCAGTGCCCAGTACAGGGGGATGATCACTGCCCTGACCATGTTGGCCACGCTATTTCTGACGCAGGCCAGGATGCTGTTAGCCTTCTTGGCTGCCTGGGCACAAGCTGCATCATGTTCATTCAGCTGTCAACCAACACCTCCCCCGGGTCCTTTTTCTGCAGCCACTCTTCCCCAAGCCTGTAGTGTTGCCTGGGGTTGCTGTGGCAGTACAGGTATGACAAATTCAAAAAAGCATTCCAGCACTTAACAGTGTTTGCCCAAGCTTTAAATGACATTTGCATCAAGAGTTTTCATGCATACAGGAAGATGAAAGTTCTTGAATGTTCCAGATGTTGCTTGTACAGAATAAAAATTCAAAATAAACATACTGCAGTATGATTCAGAGAACAGCAGACAAGTCCATAAAGAAGAGACAAGGTCACTGTACTCCAGATTGTGCCAAAATAGCCTAGATAACGGCCTTTATGAACAGGCCAGATAAACTGCCTTGGGAGGCCACAGAAGGCCTAATGATAATAAAGTGAATCCTCTGAACTGCAGCAGTGAGGGAACAACTTCTGCAGTTTGACAAAGGGCTGTGTTACACCAGGAGACTGACAAGGAACATTAGTGGTATTACCTGCATCCAGTTTTTGTCACCCATGATCCTATAGCGAATATTGAATTTCAGCTTCATCACAGCTGCTGAAATCCGATTCTCCCAAGAAAGCTTCAGAACAGTAGGCAGCATTCCTGAGTTGACTGATAAATTGTGTGGAGGCAGAGGTTTAACTGGAAGAGGAGATAAGAGTCAACTCTACAGCTGTATTTTATCATGCCTCTAGCAGTTGGTAGCTATGCTGTAACACTGCCATTAAAGTCTTTCACAAACTCAAATGGCTGCTACTTCACACTAGCTTCTAAAGCAGACTACTCAATAAGAAATTGACAGCTGAACTGTGGTCAAATCTCCCACCTTCATACCTCTGTCCAGCACAGTTCTAGTCAACAATATTTCAGCAGTGTTAATTTTTATAGTGAAGGAACATTAATACAGCAATTCAGCAATACACACAGAAGCAACAGTTATGTACAAGTAAAGCTTTATTAAGAGACATATAGTTACCAATCTCAATGGGATCAAGAATAAGAGGATCAGATTCAGCCTTTCCAAGAGCATTTGCTGCTTCTACCCAGACCTTCATGTTAACAAAGAACTGAACTTCAGTAATCGTACAAGAATTGTTTACATCTTTTGGTATACAGTCAGGAAAGTTCTCTTGCAGCCTAAACAAAAGAGAAGGAAAAACAAGGTACAAAGCAGTAAGTTTGGTTTACTTTCAAGAATCTTTTAAGTAGATCAGAGTGATCAATCACTTTAGCTTGTATGCTTCTCCTCTGCCATTATTTTTGTAAGCAGACAGGTCAGATGAAAAGGTGAAGAGATTTAGAATGGCTTGTTAAGCCATGATTGCTTTAGAATAGAAACTAGAATAAAACCTCTTGACTTCCAAGTCACGTACCTTCAAAAGCAAAAGACGCTATTGTAATTATGAAGCTGTACAAAAATCCAACTTAGCTTAAAGAAATAAAGATCAAGAACTGATACATTTAATCAAAAGCAATACAGGTAGAAACTAGAAGCACATTCATGCATTAAAAGACATAGTCAATATTATCTGTATACCCTTCAGGAGTACGGTGTTGCAGCTACACATCATTTTCTGCTCACCACTTTCTGCTACAGTAACAGCAGACAGTTCTAGGGGCGACAGCGATTTGCAAAGCATTAAGGTTTTCTATTTATCCAATCTTTTAACACTTGTTACCAAAACACTTTAGTGGAATGGGGTAAATGGAAGGCTGTGGGCAGTCATTCCAGTTTCCAAAGCAGAGCACGTATTTTGTTCACTGCATTTTCAACTATAAGAGACCATCTGAAGAGTTTGAAAAAATACTTATTTTGCTTTCACAGGAAAAATACTTTGGCTGAAACTTTCACGTTAGGATTAATCATGGACAAACACCATTCTGAGTTCTTAGGAAGTCCAAAGTAGATAATACCTCTACAAAATCCAGTCAATTAGACTCACAGATTTACTTAGAATCACAGAACAGTTTGGATTGGAAGGGATCTCAGAAGGTCATCTTGTCCACCCCTCCTTCAATAAGCAGGGGTATCTTCTACTTGTTTAGAATGGGACAGAACAGTCACTACAGAAAAACATAGAATATATAATTTGGATTCAGTCACCTGATGATTATGTGTATTATACTCAAAACACACTAATAACTGATTTGAAGAATGGAAGAACAGGAGATAGCAACAAAACTTCAAGTCTGACTTAGAATGAGTTTAAATATGTGCTCTTCTCTTCCCCTCAAAATAGACAGCTATGCTTCAGAAAACTGGATTTAAGTTAAGAACTCTTCCAAAGTATCAAGGAATTTAATGAGAGTTTGGTTTAGCGTGTAAATATTTTTCAAAATTCTTTAGCTATTCTATAGAGGGCTACTTACCATCTGTATTTCAATCTAAAGTGAGTGTCCAGGAATGTATGCCTTCCAGGATTCCAGGTACAAGTCATAGGATATGTGAGTTTTAACACCTGATATACAATGCAACTTAAGTTCTTGGGCTTCTCTGGGGGCACTGAAGAGAAAAAGTTACAAATAACTAATCTATATACACATTTCAATCCAGTGAGAATCATGCTAAGTGCCCCATTAAGGCAATTTCTATGAATATCAGAAGTATTTGTAGTCAGGTTTATTTCTAAAGGAGGGGGGGCAAAAAGTGCTAGATACCATCCTGCAACAGAAATCAAGAAGCTTAATCAGCTGCTCTCAAAAGCAGTAGGCTGTATGAGGAACAAACACCTGACAGTAAGGAACAGCAAATTTCTCATTCTTTGAGGCAGAAAACCTCCTATCATCTAAATCTATTTTAATTCACACAGAAAAAAATGCTAGTGAGCGCTACAGCTGGATTAGTAAATGCTGACTTTGCTAATAACCTGAGCTCTAAGGCAATTCTGGATAGCTCTGTTCTCCCCTACCTGAACTATGGAAGAAGAATGCTTTAGCTGTGAACATGTACAAGAGAGATAAGGGATCTTCATCAGTGCACTTCAGTATTGTGTAAGAAAATTTTTCAGAGTGCAGCTGAACTATTATTTTTACCTTCTTAAATACAAATCATGGCATACGAGAATCTTGTTTCTAGCTTTTAGAATACCACTTTATTTACAACAGTATAAGGTACTTGAATTTTATTTCCTTTCCAGCAAAATACTGTTCTCAACAGAGTTACCTTATGAACCTATGGTTTTGTTCCTGAGGAGTTGTATTATTCTCAAACCTGTTATTCATACTCTTTACAGAATTTCTTTAATTGATAGTACAAAAATACAGTAGCTTTAAATACAAATGTATCTCAAGATTCACAGATGAATTACAACTGTAGAATGTTACCTGTACTGTCATTCAGTTTATCATCTTAGGATATTGTATCCTGTCCTCACCTTTCCATGTATTTTGACTGTCAGATCTTTTATGGTAAGAAATGTACTCGTTAGAAGTTGAAAAATAAAGCTTTTTTTTATGTGAAAGCATTTTGTAACTCATGCTAGAACCACACTAGCTTAAAATCGTGAACTCAACCCAGGCTTACATACACAGACCACGCAACAACTGCACTACCTTTTCCTAACACTAGGAGGCAACATAATTCATCAACCATTCATACTGTTATTAAGGACACCCGAACACTTACTTTATAAACTGTCCACCAACTAATTAAATACTATATTAAGTTAGTCATATTACTTTCTCCAGATCTCAGTCTTGTCTCAAAAAGCACATGCTCAGAACTATGCAAGTGCTATCATGCTTGAGCAAGGGAAGTTTATAATCAGCTGGAAGTATTTTCTTCTGTACTAAGGTAATCCAAATAATATGCTCCAACCTTAAGCAGTTCAGGTTAATTTTAGTGATATAGATGGACTAAATATTTCTCAGACTGTTAATGAAGAAAACGTTAATTTCATAGTAGTATTATGAAAGCAGGACATACCACCTGATTGTATTTCCTTGAACTCTGACACAGAAGCAAGAAGTAAGGAGAGGTTAGTTTACTTCCTAGGAGTGATTTCAGTTAAATTCACATCTTTCTGTAATCTAAATTTTCCTTCTTTGACATTTTTTTTTCTGCTGTTTTCTATTATTCTGTTTTCTTCCTATTTAAACACTGAAACACTCCAGAGTATTTTCTATTTTTTTGAATAGAAAATATCATTCTGTGCACATTTACCGGCTTTGATGTCATGTAATTTGACAATGTTTTTATACAATTATCCAGGAACTGAGGGAATGCAAGATGTGCATACTTACTATTGTTTGCATTCTCTTCCCTGTTTCTCAGAAATATTTTTTTTAAAGCAGAATAAAAGGCAAGAAAAATGGTACTTACAGCCTACTGTAACTGTAATTCCATAAATGTTCTGCTCAATCTGTCCGTCTGCTAAAATGTTGCATGTCAGAGGAGTAGCTAGTGAAGAAGTATCATTAAATGTGACACTGGAAACCGTTCTGTTTATTTCACGATACTGTTCTTTAGGTACTACTCTATTTTTAATTTTCCAGATAATTTGACTAGCATAGATATTGCCAAAGTCCAAACAACTCTCATTCAAAATGCATAATGCTGTGAAATTGGAACCAAGGGCCAATACAGGAGACTCTGGGATGATGTGACCACATGACTGCACAAGTCCACCTGAAACTAAAAAGAATAGCATCTTTATTAAAAAATACAGAGCATTCTGTAATCAATATTGCTGATACAACACCAGTGTAACATTAAAAATACTACGTGTGTCTATGCAGTAAATTAGTTACTTGACAGTTATAAAACTGAAATGCATTAATGGACCACCAAGCAGATCTAAAGGGCAAAACCAGTGTAGTGCTCCCCAGGCTTTGCAAAAGCATTTTATCAAGCAAGAAAAGCTTGATTAATAAACAGGGGCCTTTAGAGACAGAGTAGACCAAAGGATTCAATGTTTACTCTGTTCTGAAGGAGAAGGGTAATATAGTTGAGGTGACTGGGATGACTGTGCACCTTTGTTGTGGTGAATTGGTTTTAGAAGAATTGCATGCAAACAGTTAAATACTTGAGTTGTCAATTTCAAAAGCTTCAGTGGGTATACTATAAGCATATTTGGTAACTATAGTGAACTCTGCACATTTCGCAGTACTCTTTTTACTAAGGAACTTCAACACAACAACAAAATTGTGACTACTGCTACAGAGGCACATAAAGAGAAAAGCGTCAAGTTCTAAGGATGAAATAGACAACTGAAATGCTGCTTTGAATCAACAGCCATAATAAACATCTCGAGGATGACCATTTTCAACACAGTAACAGTGACCTACAGCTCTGGATTGATCATAGAGCCTACAACACCAGTTCACCAGTAGCTCATTGCTTTAACAGCATTTAGTTTGACCAATACATGCTTTCATTTAGATACCATTCGGCATATGTGAAATTAAACTTCAGTTTGCTACAATGACAGCTCCAGTGATGTCAGTGGAACTAAAGCAATCTTCCAGCAACCAAAGTTACTCTTCACTCTTTTTGTACATAGATGAGCCAATGAATAGAAGCAGAAGTGAGTATTGCTTTAACATGCATTATTTTAACACTGTATTAAGAGCACAGACTACTCTCCCTATCCTAATAATTTTGCTTTCTGCATTCATTCCACAAGTATCTAGACAAAAAGCAGTACATGCTTCAAGCATCCAATTAAGTAAGTCTCGCTTTTGAGACAGGAAAGTCTTACCTTCAAGAAAACAGATGTTCAAGAACAGATATAAACTATGGGCCACCCAGTTCCACCCAGAAAACATGCTGCACAGAATTCCTGTAACAGAAAAATATATAAATATATATTTGAAATATTACTCTTCAGATCTCCATCAAATTCAGATTTGTATTTAGTCTATGACAATTTCTTAAGTATGCACATTTCCTTTTCTAAAAGAGTTAGTATATTCTCACTTCAGAGAAACAGTGGGCATACTGTTTCCATTTTGCTCACTGCTGCAACAAAATCCAATGTCTACTTAAGACAACCGATGCAGTTTAAAGCCTCTTTAAAGCAGTTACAAATTTAAGAAATATATCAGCTTAAGGTTGTTGTGTCATATATGGGAACAAACTTCACTGGAACTTCTGTGGGAAGTTCACTTAGAATAGAGAGCATAACACTGTGGCTCAGGTTTTGAAACAGAACCCTATGAATTTGATTATAGTTACCATACTTATGTAGCTTTTTTCAAGGGCACTGATATAAGTGCTTTGCTCAAGGTTCAGAACAACTCACCCCAAAACCATGCGTCTCATTCACAAGTGACTAAAATACATTTAAGAACTACAAAGTACAATGCTTCCATATCAAGAACCATATAATGTTGACTACTATAGAAAAAGCATTAACAAACCTTCAAAGTCTTACAAGGGAGTTCGCAATTCCTCAGAAATTTGAAAGTTTTTTTAATATTTTACGTTATTTCTGTATTGTACCAGAGCTCACTTGTTCTCCATTTTGACAATTCTACAGAACAGTTCAGAGAAACTGAAGCATTCAGAGTAGCTTTCACTTCAGTTGTTCCAAAGCCACAAAAGTATCCTCTCAACTTGCAGTTACAAAGAAGCCCTAAACGACTAAAAGCAAGTTACCATTCTCTAGTCATATCATTCGTAGTTACTCTTAAGCATCTTTACAGGAATAGGTAGATTGGCTTAGTCAAGCAAAGCATTTAGTCCACAACATGATTTCTAGAAGCAGATCTCATACTGTTCTTATAGCTAGAAATTAAACATAAATTTTTATGCTTACTAAGATTTGCGATGAGATTGCCTGTAGTACCCTGCTTCTGAAGTTTTATTTTCACTGACCTAAAAAACTTATTTGGAAACTGGTATTCTGAACTTCAGCACTACAGAAAGCAACTCACTAAGAAGTAATTGGGAATTCCACAGTATTGCCTGCAAAGGAAAATTTAAACGCTACATTTACTATTATCAGAACAAGCAGAAACTGCAGTTTATGATAGGAAATACTCTGTTGATTTCATTGTATGTAGTTTAGTTTATAATAATGGCAGAAAGACACAAGGCACTTCATGAAGATCGGTAAAACTAGACATTTAAGCACTAATGTATCAGTAACAAGCTAGACCCTCATTCCTTAGGCATCAGCACAGATATACTTTTTTTTCCCCCGAACAAACCAAGATTAACATTATAATGTAAGGAAAATCCTTATTCATAAGAACTAGAAATAAACAACTAAAGCCAATCTCAAACCTTTACAGAAGAGTCTTCATAGGACTCACCAATGTAGATGTGTTTCAGTTACAATTAAAATAATAGCAATCAGAACCACCCAATAGTGTATTTGCATCTGTACTTGCGAGTTCAGCACTCAAAACCTATTAAGAGTTCCCGTACAGAAATTTAATACTAGAAATATTAGAAGACCTGACAATTATGTCAGCATTTGTATTTGTGACTAGAGGCTGTTTGGAACTGTAGTTGTATGAAGTTTAGAATCAAAAGGCTATTCATTTTTTCTACGTTACACTTAAGTACTCTCACTGGGCTGGATATGAAAACCACTACACAGTTTCAAGTGCAATACATGTTTAGATATTTATTACAAGCATACAGTAAGAGAACTAAACCAACTGATTTTTTATTATGGATGTAAAGTCTTCTAACACCTGAAAAATAAGGTTTCTGCCTACTCATGCCTTTCTGCATTTTAAAGTCCAAAGTGGTTTCACAAATTTTAACAGATTCATATGGTCAATACAACCAAACTCAGAAGAGTATTCTCTTTTGATTCTGGTCTTCAGACACTGGATAAAACTAGCACATGTGAATCTATTTTAGTGTCTTGACTTACTCTAACGTTTATCAGAAATACTGCTTGATTGTTGTGAACCTAAAGCTTAGAACTTAAGATTTTTTTTTTATTTTTTAATTTTATTTTAAGCAAGGTTCTGTTAAAGCGTTTAAGTTGAACAAATTGAGTTGCAGAAGATTTGAAACTCATGAGAACCCTAAGGCAACTAAAAGCTAGGTGGAAAGAAGCAGCAACTCCCCTCCCTGGTAATTGCTAAAAGCTGCAGAACAGCAAAAGCTGCTTCCCCATTGAAAGAGGAAAGACTGAAGCAGATATAAAAAAGCAAAACCAAGAGTTTTTAAAAAGAATATTCACTATAGCATTTCTCTCCCATTTGGTATCACAACTGATGTCACATTAGAATAATAATGGCATGTCAGCAAAGGTAAGTATTACATAATTACAAAGTATTTGTTTTCTTTCTGGTAGTGATTTATTTCAGGTTAAATTGTATGTCCACAAAACTGTTCATGAACTGCTGGTTTTAAAATCCTAGTAAGTATGGCTCAGGTTAATACGAAATACTATGAAGCACCTGAAGGCACATAAAAGCCAACACTCAGCCAATAACAGTCTCAACAGAAGCAAACAATAATATAGAATTATCACACATTTTGGTCTAAAGTATAATGGGTTTTGTAACGAATCAAAGTAAGATTACTTCATCTTTTAAAATGTTATTTCTATATACAACTGTCTTCCAGACCTGGAATATAAGATTTTAGTTGTCCTAAGCAGATTAATTTACACATAGGAGAATGAAGTCCAAATCTCTACTACTTTGCACTTTGGAAAGTTTAGTATCTGTTTTGAGGGAGCAAAGAAACCATCCACAGCCCACTCAGCTCCTGAAAGGCAAAAGGAATAAGACTAATGCTCCATCACTTGCAACGGGAAGTTCAGAGGAAAGCCTACCTACCTACAGCACAGGAAACAAGCAGTTGTGACTATGGTGTCAAGATCACACTACAGTTCACCATTTATCTGCTTCTAGGCTGTTCTGATATATTTTAATTCCCCCTCCCTGGTCAATGAAGGTTGAACCTACACACTGAACCCATGAAGGGGCTACTGCCTTCTAATATGTGCTGCTCTATAAAACATTAGTCTCTCAAGACTCTCTTACAAGACTGATTCCTAACTGAAATTTAGTTCTACACTAAGCACTTCCATCCATCCTGCCCAGGTGAAAGATGTAAAAAAAAAAAAAAGAACAAAACAACAAAAAAACCCCCCAAAATCCAAACAAAAAACGGTGGGGCTTATAACCAGCCCCATGTAAAGATGCTCAGTTGCAGACAGTGCAGAAACCCAGCATAACATCTACACCAAAACTTCAAAATATAGTCATGTAGTGCTATCACCATCACTCAAAAGAAATGCTGCTAGACAGTAACTGCTTCAAATCAGACTAAGTTGCAAGTCTGGACCACAGAAAACTCAATAGTTTCAGCAATTATGCAGCACTGCCCAAAGTTTTACAGGCTGGTGTAGCATTTTAGGAACCTTAAGGTGAAAGTTTAACCAGATGCTGAACTAACACTGAAGGTGCAGTTCAGAAGTTTGGTGGTTGTTTTTTTGGGTTTTGTTTGTTTGGGGTTTTTTGTTCTTTGTTTTTTGTTTTTTGTTTTTTTTTTTTTTTCTTTTTTAAGAAAAGTCAAATCAACATTTTATCTATACTATGCAGTTGTCAAGGACCACTAAGTGAAAAGGAAAGGGAGACAGAAACCGATGTTAGAAGTTTGTCAGGTTACTTTCATGGTTAAGTTTGCCAAAGTGGCAAAGGACCAAAGTCCATCAAAATACTACACAGTAAAACCAACATGGGCAATTTATAACTGATGATGATGACAGAGCGCAACTCACAGAACATAAATTATCTTCGGAAACAAACCTGTTAAAACACTGTGATTACTTCAACAAAGACAGACAAACTCATATGCCATGACATCACCCCATTCAATCTCAAAATCATATGGGACTTTTATTAAGCTTCATGTCCTGCTACTATTTTGAAAGAAAAGCAGTTAGCCTTTATGCCTGAACCTTAAATTGATGCTTCAGGAAGTGTCCTATGAAAAGCTAGTAACAACCCTAAAATCAAGCTTTATATGAATAAAGTAGCAACAGCATTGAGTTTTATGGCTGAACTACGTGTAACAATTTTTGAAGAAATGTCAACCATTCACATAAAACAGGTATCACTACTTATTCTAAGCAACTGAGAGAAGCCTTACAAATTAATCTGATTTCATAAATCATGAAAACTACCCCAAACTCAATACAGGTATAAGTCATATGATGAGATACCATCTTTCCGTTTCAAAGGGGTGACATTTACTGTCCAAGTGACCTACAAATGACAATTTAGGTTTAAGAGAAATAGCCAAAATAACATGTTCTTGCCAGCAAAGCCAACTTGCAAGTCAGGAACTACAGAACACACCATGACCACCACAGGAAGGTGTTAAGTCTATTAAGGCTCATTATCACATCAATCATGGAAGCCCAAAGGTTGCTGACAAATGGATTTCCAGAAATACCTCAAAAAATTTAAGAGTTAAGCTTACAGCTTCGAGTGGTAAAAATACATATAGCTCAGAAGGATAGAGCAAGTGATACTACACATAGCAGTAACACTGCTTGAGGTTTAATAACAAGCCAGCTACTACTGAAAGCCCATCTAAAACCTTTAACTATTTTAATGGAATTTTGATTACTCAGGCTGTAACTACTTTCTAATTACAAGTATTTCATCTGCAAGCTTCCTTCCTTTCTCCAAACCTACTTCCCTCATGAAAATATTTGAGACTCAAAAAACCCCTAACACTTCTAAGAGAATCACTTGAAAATCTTATGTAACACTATATGCACAGAATACTCCAAAATGCTTTTTCACATTTAAAATACTTACACACAAATGATATCTCTGTCCCT